CCTGGAACATTTTGTTTGTTTAAGAATAAATCATTCTGGCATATGTACGTTCGAGTCACTATGGAAGATGGTTCACGTGACAAGAAAAAAATACCTCAAAGATATGTGACGCCGTTAGGATTTGAAATGGAGGTGGATCTGGAACATGATAACGAGAATGTCGAGGAATTGAAGATTGATAAAACTAATCTTACTCCACCGCCAATTGTAAGGTCGGTTTCATCATTTCCATTTCGCAATCACACCTTTACGGATTGGTGTGTGAAAAGACCGTCAAAATGGAAAAGAAAGTTTTTGGAGGGCTGTATCCCCATTAAATATTGGGTTAAAAGACTTTAAAATATCTTATATTTATATATATATAGTATCTTACCGATAATACTTATTATTTTCACATCGTGTATCATTATTGTATTTTTTTTTTTTTTTCATTTATTATATCCTTTTTCGTTTATGTATTATTACATATCTCTTTTACTAACCCTTTCATTTATGTATTATTATCTCCTCCATCTATATATTCCACTTTTTCAAATGCAATATTTCATCATTGTATTTTTAAAATTCACATCGCCATATTTTCTTATTTCACTATCCATTATATCTGTCTTCCAAAATTCTTCATCTTTATTCCACACACATTCCAACTTCGACCTATCTAAGCCACCCAATAACCTTATATGCTTTAACGAAAATTAAGATTTTTTTCATTATAAGAAATATAAGCATCACAATCAATTAAATAAATAAATAAAAAACCCTTGCAAAAATCATTTTCATGTAACATGTTTGAGTACAACAAATATATGAATTGGATTTAGTAATTTTTACAGTATAACTTACCGATAAATCTTTTTTCAAAATATTTGAAGTGCATTATTTTTAAATTTTTACCAACGATAAGTAAAAAGACAGAATTTTGTATTTATCGTAATATTTCAAAAACATAATAATAATCTTTCAATATTTAACATATTTTATTGTTTTAAACGATTGGATTTTAATAGACAATAATAAAAAAAAAAATTTTTTTTTTAAATAAAATTTATAATACAGTATATCTCCATTCATTTTCTTAAATATAGCATATTTTAAAAGGACAAATCAAACAACTTTAAATAAAAACCCGAAAATAAAATTTTAAAATTTTATTAAGGTTTTCTTTTAAAATCATTAAAAATTTTTTTTCACTTATAAAATTAAGGTTTTTGTTCTATTTACACAATTTTATTAAATTTAAAAAATTTTTTTTATTATACTGTAATTGAAATTAAAAAATCAAATTGTGATATAAGTAAAATTCTTTAAAAAATCAATCTATATAATGAGTTATTATCATTATTGTTGTTATTAGTATTGCTATTATAATATTAGATAATAGGATTTTAATGAAATATAATTAATCAAAATATAATATCAATTATTTGATAAAAGTAAATTAATTTTGATTTTTGTTAAAAAATTTTTATATCTATATATATAAGCAAAAAATATAACAAATCAAAAAATTTTTATATCTATATATATAAGCAAAAAATATAACAAATCAAAAAATTTTTTCTATACAATTTTTATTAGGGAGGTGCCAGAAATCACGTGTTTCTTTAGGGAGGGGGGGGGACCAAAGTATCACATTCTATTTTTTATTAATTAATTATTGCTCAAATTTTTTGAGAAATATTACATTTATATGGAC